GATAAACCTGTTCTTTTGATGCTACACTCCATTCAGCTCCTGACCCCCTGACCAATTCTGTCTCACCTCGTGTGTGCTTCCCCTGTTCATCACAACTTCAGGTCACTAAATCAAGACTCTTAGAAAATACCAGAATAAAGATTGCTCATGGATTGCCATTCACTTGTGTCCTGTGGTCATGAAGTAAGATACATGATCAGATCCTACTTTCTGCCCAGATTCTGTTTCCATTTATGGTAGATGACAGATGAACCAGGACTTTGTCATCCTGACATGGTGGCTGTTTGGTGGAGAGTTTGGAGGCTGTGTAGTGAGCCTAGCAGATGAATAATACAGGTAGGAAAAATCATGGTCACATGGTGAAGGCATTTGAATTGAAATTGAAAATTGGATTGTATTTCACCCTTCGTAAGAGTTGCTGTTATGAAGCTAGGTGACTCAAAAAAATTACATTCTTCCCAACTTCTGTCCAGGTGGTCCCCATTTTCTGTCTATCCAGTTTCAGTCACCCATGCACTAATCTGTGAGAATACTGCCCACTGTGTCTAGAGCCAAGGTGACTGGGAGCTGTTCTCTGAGGAAAGAAGGTGCTAAGTACTCTAGAAGTTTGGTTCTGAGCTCCTTTAATGGAACACCCAAAATGCACTGACATGTTTGAAAATATTGGCTTTTATCTCTGTTCCTCAGCAGAGAGCTGTGAAGATAAACTCATTGATGATTGTAAAAAAAACCCCAACCCTCCAACACTACAATTAGAGCACCACTATAGAAAAGCCCTTGAGGAAATTAATCATTCTGTATGCAAAGCAAGATCTGGATGCTCTGCAGTAAACAGTACATGCACCACACATTGGATGATAAGGATACGAGAAAATTTGAATAGTGTTCATTAAGTGAGCAGCACTGTAAAAAGCAGGAGACCCATGGAAACAAAAATCATGTTATTAAAGATTGTATCATAATGTGTTTGCATGCAGGGCGAATTAATGTTGCATGGGTGATCTTAAATCTGATACTCACTAACTTGGTTAACTTTGAAATCCAAATGTTTTTTTTTTTAGAGAGAGCAAAACAAATCTCTTTTGGGAGTGGCCAGTAGGGAGAGCAGAAGATGTCCAGCTAGGTGCTGGTGTGGGCAGCTAGATACCAGTGTGTGCACGGATAAACACGAGTGTGTAGACAGCTGTCTGCCTAATCTGTGTGTGTGTTTGTGTGTGTGTGTGTGTATGGCTAGCCAGTGTTTATGCAGCTGGCTGATGTTTACCTCTGAAAATGTCTTTTTCTATTAAAAAAAAAATAGAAGGGACATTAACAAGTGGTTAACTCCTGGGGTTTAGATGGCAAAGTTTTTATACAGTGTTTTTTGGTCCAGATCTTCCTTTATAGAGCCTCTGCTTGGTTCTGAGTCACCTGAACACCCAAAGTCTGTTTGACTGATGGGTCAAGTGTTTGTGGGAGTTATCGTAAGATGCTTCTATGGCAGCATCTTTTATGTCTGTGTTAATAGAAGGGCTGGCATGCTGAGAATTCACGTACACCAGTACCCAAGGTGCACTGGAATGATAAAAAATATTAGCAGATATAATTTGTTATATCTGTGTTTGGTTTGATTACTGTCTTGTATTTGAAATCCTGTAATTAGAGCAGCAAACTGCCTCCAGAGCCAGTGCTGCCCCAGGTAATACAACACTAGTACAAGGTCCTATGTCTTCAGTAGGTGGTTCATTACAAAGAATGAAGGCTGGAGCTCATGTAAATTAAACGTCACCTCTCAAGAGGTGAAGATCACAGAGAGAGCAGGGAAATACTGAAGATTCTCTCTCCCTGTTGAATAACTGAATTAGCAGTACAGATCCTGTGGAATGGGCAGCTCAGTCCCCTCCCCCACTAGATGGCACTGAATTCTTTTTCTTTAAAAGAAAAAAAAAGGAGGAAGAAGAAGAATATGGTGGAGGTCATTTTGATGTTAAAAAAACCCCACAAACCACCAACGAAAAAACCACCAACAGAAAAAAAAAAACATGAAAAAAGAGCAAATTGCAATTGGTTGTCCGTTAACTTTGCCCTTCCCCCCCTTCTAGCCCAAGACCCCACCTTTGGGTACCTTGGTAGAGGCGCTCGCTTTGCTTTTGTGTCTGGAGCTTTCCTGAGAGGCGGTGGGCGCTGGTCGCTGGAGGATGCTAAGGAGAGCGGAAACAATCCCGGGAGGGAATGGAGAGGAGACTGGCCCTATCTGTAAGATAACATCCGTAGTAGGGTGTAGCAGGCAGCGCACGGCTCGTCACAAGGAACTGGCTCTGAACAGACTCACTGGGAGCCGGTTCTCTGTCCCATGCCTTCAGACATTTTTCTGTGCACCCATGAGCTTTAGCTTTCCCTCTGGATCACTGAAATCGTAATCTGCAGAAAAGAAAGCCTCAGCTTTTACCAAAACTGTATTTTCACTCCCTGATTGATTTAAGACCCATGAATTAGCTGCCTTTGCCGAGATGCCCTTAATTCACTGTCGGGAGTGGTTTCTGTGTAGCCCAAGTGTGCATGCAGGGTTTTTTTCTGAATGTCTTTCTTTCAGCTTACATTCACCTGAAGATTGACAAGGATTGTTTTTTCCCGCATCCTGTGATGAGGAGGGGGTGGGGTGGGAAGAAGAGAATTTAATAATGGTCTGTTTGTGCTGAGAAGGGGCTGTCTGTAATAATCCTGGGAAGAGACAGAGGAAAGGTTCCCGATGCCTACAGAAAGCAATATTCTGCCCCTCCTGAAAAGAAAGAAATAATGATGATATGGGGGAAAAAAATTTTGATTCTTAAAGTGGAGTTCATCTGAAATCCAACAATTTCTCCTACAGTTATATATTTAAGGTGACTTGCAGGAGGATGTAGACTGCCATCTGATAAAGCTACAAATGCAAGCAAAAAAAAAAAAAAAGGCATAGAAACTGCCATTGAAATTCCTTTTCAGAGAAAAAGATAAAACCTGGAACTACATGCCAATTTTTGGCTTTCAAATCCCTGTTAAAGAATGAGAAGAGGGAACAAGTTTGGCTTCTCCAGGTACAAAGTCCCCCTGCCCCAAACTATCTTACTGCCTTGGAGTGTGATGGGAAAACCTGGCACCTGGACCTCTCTGGGTCCAACCAAATCTTGGCTCTTTGGACTGTAATCCTAATGTTTAATTAGAAAGAAATGTAGGTATGATTACATTATATGATTTTCCCATCCCTGAATATATCTCTGGCCAGTATCATGAGAAAAACAGTTCTTGTAGCTGGATCCTCCATTTTGCTCTTAGCCTCGGTCTCCCAGTCCTGTGTAAACTGGATATTTAGACAGAAAACAGTTTAGTTTTCCCCTTCACTCTAAATAAAGAGTAAATATAGCAGACTTTTGTGCTTAAATTGAAAAACCAACAATCAGCCAAAAAATATGGCTGGTAAAATTAGGTTTGTTCCCTGTTCTCATCCTTCGGCTTGGGACTTGATGCTAAAAATTGACAAAGAAATCCAGGTGCACTCTCATCTCTATGTGGGTGCAATACCAGAAACCTGTTTGTCATCTTCTTTTAGGAGCCAGCAGCTTTTTGACCACAAACCTCTAAATTTTATCTCTGAACAGACAACAAGTATGGCTGCTCCAAGCCCACTATAAAATGTAGGTCTTTTTATCTACTGACATGTAGTTGCTTGAAAAATCAGTTATAGAAGTGGATCCATCTGTGCTGAACTATTTTTAAAGAAACCTTAGATCCTCAAATATTTGTCTTTGTTATTTACAACAAAGGGAAGTTACTGCTAAAAAATTTAAACCAGGGCCTTGTTTCAATGAAACAATTAACTTTATCTAGAGCTTTCCAGATACAGTTCATATTCATAACATAACATTGAAATCTTGCAATAGAGCTGTTTCAGCAGATATGGATTATTGTAACATCTATGGTTTGGATGATTGACTTTGCCAGTTGCATAAGCATGCAAGGGGGTTAGAGAGTATGGTACGTTTCAAACCAAAAATGGTTTAATGGGACAGATATCCTTCTGCAGCTGAAAATCCCAGTTGACCTGGGACCTGGCTTTACCAGGTAAAATGGAAATAGTCACTTTGCCTTTTTTGATAATACAATTTGCTTTGGGGCCAAAACCTGTTATGATCCAGTCATGTGTGGCTTTTTTTCTTTTTTTTTTCTTTTTTTTTTTTTTTTTTCCCCTGTTGCAGCTGTATTGCATGGGAAAATCCAGGTATGTATTTCTGATACACAAAGAGCTACTACATTCCACCTCTGCTCTCCCCACTGGAGAGAGCATATAATTTGAGTGGCTAAGGTTAAAAGCTAGTAAAATCCCAGGACTCCCCCTCTTGGGGCTGATGGCTGTCACCAGCTCCAGGGCTCCAATGAAGGCTGTGCTTATTTTCAATTCGGGTGACACAACTTGGGATCCAGGGGCCAAAAGTTGGTAGGATCCAGTGTGGATGTACATTTTTACAGCACACATCTGTGGAGACGCATCGGGCTGTGGACTTTTTGGTGCAGTAGGAGCAACTGCATTGTTTCCTGTTCATGCTGAGGAGTCGCTGCTGTGTGGGAGCCAAATATTGGATGGGGCTAACTAGGTTCCTCTGCCAGCTCCAGGATGCTGTGGTACTCACAAATCAGGATGTGCCAGGTTCCAGAGCTTTTTGTTGCAAGGGAAATGGCCATTTTTATTTCCTTTTTAAGCAGTACAGTTCAGAGTATGAAGGCCTCAGTCTTCTGGATGACACAGAAGGTCTCAAATCCAGGGATTTTTTTCAAGCTCATACTCTGTATTATGTAGTAGGTTGGGATTTTTTTGGTGCAGTGAGAAACAACTCTGCTTGTCTTGGACTTGGTTGACACAGTGTAAGGGCTTGTGACCAAGAATGAGCAGGATCCAGTTAAATCCAGGTTTTACATTTTCCCCTCTTAAGAAAGTAAGGCTTCGACATTTCCTGCCTGGGAAGTGGTGCAGTTTATCTTTAAGGAGGATAGAGAAATAAGAAATGAGTCTCACGTTGCATGGGTGACATCACTGGCTTTTGGCTCAGCGCTCTGTATGCTCGATCTGTAGGCTTCGGCCAAGGCTGCAGGGCTCGGTGTTTGAACAAGGAAAGATTCCCAGGTATACAGAAGATTGGATTTATTTGGGTTAAAAACGGTGAAATGAGATTTCTAAAGCTTGGGGACTCCAGCTCGCCTTCTGTTGCACTTGATCTCTACAAAATGGGTGAGTTATTCCCATTAAAGAGAAAGGGAGTGAAAATTTAAGGAGAAAAAAAAATATGTCTGAAAATATAACTGCTGATGCTGGGGATACGATTCGTATGAAGCTGCTGAGCTAAAAATCTCAGCTCCGACGTGGAGATCGGGCCATATGGCAGAGAAATGGTGCAGACCGAAAGCTGTTGACAACAGTTAGGGGCTGCTTTCCTCTCCCCGTGTAAGGTGTGTAGCTCCCCACCACCACCCCCTCCGCCCCTCCGCCCCGGTTTGTTTTGGTTCGGTTTCCCCCGACCTCCCTCCCCTCCCCGCTCCTCAGCATCCTCTCCGCCAGCCGTAGCCCTGCCCGCCTGCCTTCATCTTGCAGATGGCTAACGTGCCGCCGTGTTAGGAAAACTGTGCACAACACATCCCGGCTCCGGGGACGGAGGAAGCTTTTCAGATCCCAGCGGAAGGGGGGGGCAGCAGCGTGTGTGTTGTGTGTGTGTGGAAGAAGGATGCCGGGGCCGAGGGCAGCCCCCCGTGCTGCCTAGCGGGCGGAGCGCGGCCGGCGCCGGGTCCTGCCGGGCTGCGGCTGCTCCCGCCGCCTCTCCCCGGCCCGGGAGCCGGGAGGCTGCCGGAGCGCTGTCCAGGACCGCCGGGGAAGGAAGGGAGCGCGGCGTTGGGCTGCCTGGATGAAAGCGCCGGCGAATAAAGCAGGCGAGCGAATGGCAAGGCTGGCAGAGAGAAGCCGAGATGTTTCCGAAGCCAAGATGCCAGTGACTGTCAGCGAAGTCTGCTGAGGGAGAGACCCGTGCGTGCCCGCGTTTCCAGAGCCAGCCGGGGAGGGTATGCTTTAACCACGGTTTCAAACAGCAGCAGCAGCAGCAGCAGCCAGCAACAACAACAGATTACTCCCCCCTCTTGCTCCCTCCCCCTCGACCCCGCTTTAAACCCAAGCAAGTGACCGACCATTCAGACGATGATGCTCTTGCTGAGCCGCTGACAAAAGACAAGTCACCCATTCCTGTAAACGGGACAACTGGCTGCTTGCAAGTGGGAGATGTCGAGCTGTTGAACTTTTCTGCTCTGTGATGATGCTGTGGTGAGCTTGCTGATCTAAAAGCCATCTCTTCTGGATTTCTGAGCTGGCCGGATTGAAAGAGATTAATGGACTGATCAGCCATCAGGTTTCTTCAGGGGGATACATCCCTTCAGCCCCTGTCACTCGGGTGCTCGTGGTGAGGGGAGCAGGACATCTTTGTGTAGGTGGGTCACTGGCTCGCTCCCATTGGAGGTGCAAGGCTGTGTTTCTCCTCGCCAGGTCTCCTCTGTAGAGGAGGAGAGGCAGATGAGACTCCAGGACTGCCTCCAGGGCAGAACTTTGTAGCGCTCTCAGCATCCCTCTGCAGTGTGGATGTGAGCCACGGGAGTTGGGGATGTTTGAGGCAGACTCTGCCAAGTGACACCTAACTCCAGCTGCTCTGGAGGTTTTTGCGTGGTCTCACACCCAAGGGCTTTGCCTGTTGTGAAGATGTCCATGGTGTTTCTGTGAAGCTGAGGTATGGCTGCTGGAAGGTTACTGCTGTATGCTGGCCTGTCTTTAGCTCTGTGTGCCCTGGGCATGCTGGCTGTGGCAATCTGCTCTGACCATTGGTACGAAACTGATGCCAGGAAGCACAGAGAGAGGTGCAAGAGCATCACCACAAAGAGAAATGATCCTGGCTTCATTTATAACTCCAACAACAACCTGCCTCTCAGGGCCAGCAGGTCTAGGTTGGACCGCTGGGAAGGGAAACTCCTCTTGGCAAGAAACAGGAGGCAGATCTTTGCTATGAGCGCAGTCGACGAGTGCAACAGACAGTACAACTCGACCAACATGGGGCTCTGGAGGAAATGCCACCGACAGGGATTCGACCAGGAGCTGGAGGAGCTGATTGCCAAAGGTAAGGGCTGTTTTTTTACCAAATGAACATGCCAGGCCCTCCTGAGATGAGCAGGGGCTGAGCAGAGCCATTTGGGCTCACAGATGGGAGCTGCTGTTTCCAGCCAAATACCTCTCCTTGCACTGAGTGAACTGGCTGGGCCGGGCATTGCTTCCAGAAACACTGCCAGGGCAGTTTCCCATGGGGTCTCCACTGCTGAGACATGGGGTTTGGGAGCAAGAAGGCAGTGGGGGTGAGAGCAGACACACCCCAGAATGTCTCTTTCATGTCTTTCTCTCTACACTTGATACAGTCTGCCCATCACCATGGTATCACATTATTTTTCAAACACAAATAAAAATATTAATAAAGCAGACACTGGATTTTTTTTTTAAATTATGTTTGACCCTGGTGGCTCAGGCAAAGCATGGAATATTTTATTGGATGCTACATATGTCTGCATTTTCTGATTCCCTTACCAAATACCCCATCAGTCCTGAAATACACCATTTGCAGTGCTCACATGCAAGCTTTTTTAATTCTCAAATGGAGAGTAAACAAAGAGAAATGCTAAAAAGCAGGAGGAAACCCAGCTTGCTGTTTACACTGAGCTATGTTTTGGAATATTTTCAATATATACAAAGCCTTACATGAATTTATTAGAAAGGAATAATTTTCTCTTGGGGTGGAGATGCATCTGTTCGCCTGTAGCATTTTTGTGCTGTCTTTTTTTTTCTCTTTTGGTCCTTCGTCTTAATTTTTCCCCCAAGGTAATGATTCAAGGTGATGGTCCCAAACATTTCTTTGATCTGAAGTATAGGAAGGGGACACAGGTGTAAAACCCAGCCTAAACATCCTGTTTACAGAAGATGCATGTTTTTGCAGGATGAGGAGGGTTTCAGTAAAGGATGACGGCATCTTTGCTACCCATAGCATGGTTACTCCGTACTATAGGATAACATTTCCCTCCCATGGTTCTTTCCTTGCATTCAGAAGATTCCCCATTGGTTTATTTCCATCGTAGCGAAATCACTGTTTCTTACACAGTGCAATCTTTTAAAATACTTGTCTGCTAAGTGTGTCCTCTATCCCAAACTCCCTTGATAGCCTGCGTTAATTCCCTCTTCAGACATTACAAGTGGAATTATTGCTCAAAGCTAATTATTCACGAGGGGTGATCTTTCACACGTGTTTGCCCATGTATATGTTTTGTTCCTTATCTTTTGCAAGGGAGCGCTGGAGGTGAGTAGCATGTTACAGGTTTGCACCAAACCAGTACAAACAGATGGCATGCCAGGGAGCCTGGATCACTGATTGGGATTCTGTCTATGTTGCTAGGGACCCTTGATATCTATCTGCTGTGTAACAACTCCTATGAAATAGATTGTTGTCTTCAGTCCCATTTGTAATGGGCAAGTGAACATGCCCAAAGCCTGTCAGTACCCAGACACCCCAGACACCCTGCTGCTGGTTTCAGTGCCAAGGGAGTCATTCCTATTCCCTGTCTAGGTGAGGATGTGTATGTGCTGGGCTGCCATGGAGGGCTGGATTGCTCTGCCACGTGTGCTCACTGTGCTTGGGGCATAAACAAATTCAACCTTGACAGCGGGCGAACATGTCACCAGAGCTCACCTTTGGCAAATGGAGTTGCAGTTATTAGAGAGGTTTTTCATCTTGAAATAAGTGAGACTCGTTCCTCTTTCCCTGCCTGCCTTGTCCTGAGTTCAGGAATGTCCGTTTCTCTTGCCAGTAAAAGCTGAAATTGCCTGGCACTGGGTTATCTGTAATGGCAGCTCTGCTAAGTGTTAACTGTAGAGAAAATGTGACAAATCAAGCCGAGGTGGTTAATTGCAGGAGAAGGTGGTCTTTGAAAGATCCTGCTGCAATTTGTGTGTGTTCCTGTGCGTATATGAGCGTGTGAATGAGCGTGTGTGAGTGTGTTTAGTGAACCAACTCAATATCTAGCATTCAGCTGGTAGCAAGGGATTCCCAGGCTCAGGTGTAGTGAGTGTTCCTGCACACACGCTCCTGGACATTCGTGTCTGCAAGTGGCCAGGGAGCCACTTCAAAGAGTCACTGCCCCAAGGTCAGAAGTGCAACTTGTGCACGAAAGGGAGCTATTTGCAAATATGGGTGTGTGTCACTCCTTGCCTTCCTTAAAGGTCTTTTGATACACATTTAGCGAAGTTCATTGTACACTGAGAGAAATGTTAAAGGAAGGAGGCTCTGAACACTGAACACCGAACACCAAACACCAAAATTTTAGTTCGTTTGATGGCCTTTCTGCAGTGAGGATCTGCCTATACTATAGCTCTCAGCTGTGATGAAGAGTCACACACAAATGCTATAGAGGTGTATGTTCCTTTGGCACCTCCAGATTAAAACATAGAAAAGCAAATATAATGGCAGTTTGATAAAATAAAGTGTTTGACTTGCTCAGAAATAAAAATGGAGATTTTTTTTTTTACGATCCTCACATGATGAAAGTGAAGTGTTGTTGCTGTCCAATGCTGGGAACAGCTGTGAGTTCAAAACAAGGCAGGTATTCCAGGTTCTACCCAACATCATCTGTCATGGAAGTAAAAACTAGAAGTAGTCTTTACTTCCATGACAGATACTTGCCTGGGAGTTAAAGGTTGCAGGGGTGGGTGCTGTGGGAGAGTATGCCCTGTGCAGGTGAAAAGGGCTGCAGATATTCTCTACCTGTAGCAATAAAATAACCTGACTGGGGTATGTATTTCTCCACAGATAAAGTATCTCTCTCTCTCTCTCTCTCTGAGCTCCAGGGCAAATACCTTATAAAAGAGAATGTTTAACTCTCCTTCCTCTCTTAATTTAATCTAGCACACCTCTTCCTGAACTAGATAAACTAATGGTCCCAAATATTGGGTGTAATGCTATAGGTAAGTGAATGTAAATTTTATTAAGTGTTTTGGGTTGTGTTTGTTTATTTGCTTTTAATGCTGGACAGAATCTGTGATCCATTTATTTTAAAACAGATCCTACATTTTTCCCTAGGCAAAACTGTCAGTATTGAGAATGGTAGATTTGTCTATTTTGACATTATGGTAGATTTGTCTATTGAGAATGGTAGATTTGTAAAGGATAACAAAAAATGGTCATTAAGAGCCTAACTAGCTTTGCAAATACCCTGCAGTTATTCTGCTTATGAACTCTGCTGAAATTAATACAAGCTATAGGCAATGGCTTGTGGTAGGATCAGGCACTGTGGTACTTGGTAGTATTCTGATACTAGTGATTTTAAAAAACAGTTCTGTTCCTAATAGGCTATGTCACTTCTGTAATTCTATTCTGTATTTTTTAATTTTTAATTTTTACATTCTGGGAAATAAATCAAGACTTTTAGGTTGGATTTTGCTAGATAAACTGGAGATCTGTTACTTAAGGTTTCTTTTACATAGATATAATAGACACTACTGCATATAAAAAAAATAGTTGGTCCTTTTTATATTTCTCCTATCCTTTTTTTACATTTTCATAGAACCTATGTGCATACTTCAAAATAATACAATTAGGTAAATACGCAGTGAATTAAAGGAGATTGTCACAAGTAAACATAATCAGGGAGAGGCAGGCAAGCATGAGATGAGACCAAAGGCCTGAAGAATATTCTAAAACTGCATCAAAATTAGGCAGTTAATTTGTTCTCTTTGTCATCATGGGAAAAAAAAAATAAACCAGAAACAACAGAAATTACAGTCAATAAAGAAATTATTGGAGTTGAACATGCAAACTGATGTTCTTCCTCACCTGAATAGTCTTTATTTCTGGGAATGGACTACTTGGACTGAAGGAAAACACTCTGGTACAGAAGAACCAGTCAAAAAGAAAGAGCTAACAGAGCTGTTCCTCTGCTTTCGCATCTCATCAAGTTTTTTAGCATCTCAGGACCGGAGTTTCACTCCTGATCCCTAAAGCCTTGCAGAGTCAGGAAATGCTGGCTCTGGGATTGTTCAGCACAATACTTTAAGCTTCTTCCAATTTTCAGGTGTTTGTCCAGGCTTCTCCACAAACTAAATAGCCCTGCTGCTTAACGCCTCTTCGAACACAGTGTTCACTATATCCTATTAGGTCCACTGTTAGCCTGTTAACCACGGAATTTCTAGCAAAAGCAACAATCCCTCACCCTAGCAACCACTCCCAGTGAACCAACCGCTCCACCACTAAGCAAGCAGACAGCTGGAATGCAGGTAAGTGTCCACTCGTGGACAGGAGAAGGCAGAGTTTATGTCCTGCTTTGGCAACCAGCAGCTCACCACTTCTTGTGTACAACTTGTAGTGACCCAGAAAGAAGAACGGGAAGCCACAGAGACTGTCTGCATCCTGTGGCAATGTTGCTCAGATGCTTTCCTGCAGTAGTTGAGAGGAGAACAAGAAAGCAAAAAAAGGAATTACATCATTTAATTATAAAGGTACAATAAAGTAGATGAAGAAGTTGCACAGTAACCAGAGTCTGTTCCATTTAGACAATTACTACTCAGAGGACCTTTCATCTTGCCTTTGGAAGGCTGCCAGTTAAACCTGACTGGATGAAGCTCTGCTGCCTGCCATTGGAATCCAATTTTATTTAAAAAAAAAATAGAATTTACAATGACCTTATTATTTCAACCCTCCTTTTACCTTCCTTCTTCCCCCGAGATCCGTGGAACTCATAGTAAATCCTATTTTTAAAACATTTTATTGTGAGCATACTTAGCCCATGCCACCACGGAAAAAAACCCCCCTAAGTAATTCCTGTGCAGCCTACCTGCACCTCAAATAATATGCAAGATTTCTGGGATGAAAGCATTCTCTGTTTTGGTTTGTCAGATACAACTGAGGAAGACAGGCTTAACAGGACTACTCCAGCCGTCACTAGGGATTATTTATACACAAATGGAAAAGCCTGAAGAGAGGCTACTTGCAGCTATCTCTAGGACTAAAATGATTTATTTTTGTAAAACTGCTCGCAATAGTTTGTGATGCTCTGCATTGGACTTTTAAAATGAAATGGGTTTGCC